AAACCAATTTCAACAAAGAACAAATGCGACTAAGATGTTAGTAATGGAAAAGTGGCAGAGAAAGAGAAAGAAAAGTCAAAAGACGGATTGTTTATGATATATACGCAGATATACACATTATTACTTAGTATTTTATTCACAAGTACTTGAGACCGAATGTGTTTCGATGTGTGTGCGGCATTCAACAAATTGCTTCGAACATCATACAAATACACGATTGAGAGAGCAACACAAGATTCTGAATTTACTGTGTATAGTCATTTTCACGGGTGTCGATGCCTCGGATTTTTCATAATCGAGAAAATGAATGCAAAAAACTGAAGCTTGACGCGTAAACAGCAAAAGCTGTTTCACCTAAGAAACTTTTTCCCGAACCCTAGTCTTTACTTCGTCTAGGTTATTCTGCCGTTATTTAGAAATAAATTAAAGTCTTCGAGGAATGCTCAAGAATGCAGAAATGAAAAAGTATTGTACTATTTGTTTAGGATTAACCCCATTAGGATTAAAGAAACAGAAAAAAAAGAAAAGAAGAAGAAAAGAAAATAAGAAAAAATAAAAGATTGTACCCGTAAAAGATGCTTATAAATGAATATCTCCGCAACAATGGCTTACTAAGATTGTTGTATGTAAAAGCCAATTGGTATTGTGTGTGTGTTGTACTTTATGAATAATAAGCGAAATATAAGAAAAGCAAAAGTGTTCACATTTTTTTCTGTGTAGGCGTATGAGCGTTGAAGATGTGTGCTTTGATGTTTGTGTCCTTTTAAAATTCTTCGGCAAACCTTACAAGAAATGTTCCGTAAAAGCATACACGAACAACCGGACATGTTTAAATCGATTCGAAATCTGATGCTTATCGTAACTATTTATGCTTTGTGGAGTGCCTGCAGCTTTCTTCTGGGCGTTGCAAGCGTTTTGACAAAACCGACCATGTTTTAAACAAAATATTTGAATAGAACTTTAAAGCAAATATTGAAAATATTTGCAAGAAAAAAAACCTGTCTATCTAAAACACGACAACCTATTATATTTATAAATAAATATTATATATATATATATATGTATATGTATTATATATATATTTATTAAACACTCAAATAAATACTCAATGTACGGACCCCGGTAAAAAGTGTTGGTCAGAAGAAAACAACGAAGTATGTTATGCCACTCGGTAAGTGTTATGACTCTTCAAACTGAGCAATCACTTGACGTTTAAATTTGCGAATCTGGCTTGGTGCTCACGATTTTTACCTACTAGTTAAGTCAAGCGGATATAATTTGCTAATAAATCACATTTAATATTATTTAATAATAATTAATATATATTTAAACGTATTTTTCAATTCGTTTGCTGCGTCAGTGAAGTCTATCTCCATGCTACTCCCTGTAAAGCCATTTTCTTCTTTCCTTATTTCATTAATCAATCAAACGTTCAATATGCCTTTCCCTTAACTTTGTTATTGTTGTCTTTCATATATTTGTTGCTCAGCTTATTTTTTTCATTTCCAATTTCTTCTTTTTTGCTGCTCAAGCCAAATGTATTTGTTTATACTTGCATCGATTTCGTTATTTTTTCTTTATAAAATAATATGATGACGCGGCTTCGCATTGTGTACACCACTTGGAACTTATTAACCCGAAAAACGCAATAACGCACTTTTTGTGGAAAGGCCTTATTTACAGAAAATTGTTTACATAGTTAAGAGAACTACAATTTAATCGTTTGCCAACAGTTTATTCGAAAGAGCGCAAAAATACAATATAACGGAGCTTTTCTCTCTCAGTGATTCAACTTCGTAGCAAGATTAAGTCCTTTGTATGTAAATCCCTTAAAGCAGGTTAAGAATGTCACATTTTGTTGCAGTGTTTTCGTTAATCCTCTTGAATGCGAATTTTTCTATAAGGAAATAATTGATAATTCGCAGCTGCAACTATGTTTTATGACGCAGTCAGGCAAAGTATCGAAAATCTTCATTGGCATTCGTAACTTTCCCAACATTATAGAAATTCCATTGTCAAAAATTCCCAAGCGCTTTTATATTCATTAATTTTATGAAATCGTCAAAATACTTTAAAGCTACACCTATATTTATACCATGCACTGCTTTTGAGGTAGGGTATATTAAATTTGTTCCGATTTATGTATCAATCGAAAGGGATCAAAATCAAAAAACTTTTCATTATCTCAATAGATTCAGGCTTACCTTGTGAATCAATTTAAGCTTTTCTGTTCACCTATCTATCTGACGTTTTTGTTCAACCCACACGTCGCAGTTTCTGAATTATTTCGAGAAATAGTTGTACAGTGACATATTTGGGCCCTAAAGCTATATTTTGAAAAATCATTTTGTGAACACATTTGCAATTTTCAGGTTTTCGCAGCAAAAATCGCTGAGTAATAGTGTTTTAGATAAGGCGTGGCGTGGCCATTTTTCGAGTCCCATTCCATAAAAACGTTACCACGAAAATTAAATCTTCACATAGGAAGGAGTTGCAATTTTGAATATTTCATGATGAAAATTGGGTCATAACACTTCATTGGTACAAAAATGAATCCTACCGAATTTGAACCCCGTAGGTTAATGTTTTGGACTTATAAACCCTATGGCAAAAAAATTTAATTTTGAGTATTTTGTCATGAAAATTAGTCTATATGAGGAATGTGGCATTAAAATAAACCGTAGATAATTTGGATCAAATAGGTCTATTTTTTGAAATCCGCCATGCATATGAGGATTACCATGAAAAGTGAACCCTATAAGATGCAATTTTTTATAACGTCGGTTTGCGTCGGTACGAAAAGAGGTCCTTACATGAAGACAGCCTATAAGTTACGATATTTTTACTATTTGGGCTAAAGAAATAAGTACATAACTATGCTATATAAATTCACAATTACATCAAATTTTATGCGAGGTTTTCCGTATATTATACCTTAAACAGGGTTTGTCCAACTTCAAACCTCACTTTCATTTTCAGTTATTTCTTTCTATTCATTTACCTACTGGCTAAAAAATCCAAAAGAACTGCAATCAACCTCCTTCAAATTTGCTCTTTCCCAACAACTTGAAAGTTATGTCGATCTTAAAAGTAATGTGTCTTTAAAGTTGATAAAACCCAGTTCATATGCTTGATAGCTTAGTCACTTATTTGTGGAAAAATTTATTTTTATAAAATTCCATGAGATTTCTGATCCGTTATACTTGCAACTTCCCGTCATCATGGACATATACATTTTCCGGAAACGGGTCTGCCTATTCGGAGAGTGAAGTCATAATTTTAACGCGAAATATGAAAAAACTATAAAAACTGAATTTTCGTACACTTTCAACATACATACATACAACATCTTCGTCAGTGACTTTATAAACCCTTCCAAAGGACGTCAAATTGTTTACATATGCAAATGGCCGCTTAATAGCGGCTTCCCGTGCTAGAGCGAGAGTAGCCAACAAAACCTTAAATCTATCTAAAGTTTGTCTTACCTACTAAAAGTTTGTCTTAATTGGAAGTTGAACACATAGATTACAAGGTGAAAAGTATAAATTTTCAAAGTGTACCAAAAAGTACTAAGCAATTAAGTGTAAAGGGGCAAATGGATGCTCGATATGGCCATTAAACTGCTGATCTACAACCAAATCATAAGACCTGTTATTAGTTGCGCTTTCTCGATCTGGTCAGCAATTTCTTGCCATCAAATGGAGGGACAAACAGTTCTGGAGAGGAAAATGCTGAGTTAAGGTTATAAAGCTCCATACAATGCCAGTTGACCCAGTCAGAAAACCAGTTTGCAGAAAGTTATGCGAAATTTTCTTAAATCTTAAGAGAGTAGACATGTTCTTTGCAGCCGTAAGAAAGATGCACCTATTCAGGGAACCCCCTTGTATAAGAGTGTATTTTTATTTGATAGTTCGAATAAATTACAATAAACTTTTTAACCATGATTGTAGCCGAATTTTTGGTTCCTTCCTCCTCCAGATCTCTATGTTACAAACGGGTTTCCAACACAACATAAACCGCAGCCAACGTTTCGAGAATTGTTGCCCTTGAGAAGAAACTACTGCACGTTAACAAAAAACCTACGTCGGGAGCTCCCCTTAACGTTTGCGGTGTCAAGTATCTACAGGCACTGATTTAGTTAACAAACACATTTTATTTATTGAATAGTTGAAACGCGAATGGCCAATAGATCCACTGCAGAACTTGCAGAATTATGTGCGATAGCAAACAGGTACATGAAATTCCTAACCAAGTATCCCTCCTTAACGGCCGAGTCACACTATTCGAAGCCAGTTAAACATTCAGTTATCAAGAGATTTACTACTTAAATTGTCCTTCTAATTTCCAAGTCTGGGCGAATTCATTTCGTCAAATATAAAATCGCTCAAACAAAACTCGATTTTTTGGCGAAACTTTGAGCTGGTAAGACATAAAACTCACTTAAACCGTATCATTAGAACTGTTTGCACCTGTGTAGACAATTATTCGACTATTGCATGTTGGTTTTTTCTTTTTTTTTTTTGCAAATTTTCTTCCTTTGAATTTCATAATATACTTTAAAATTTTCCACGTCTACCTGCTAAATAAAATTAGAGGTAAATTTTATTAAAACTCCCTTTACATTTTTCTTGCTTTCGTTAGTTACCTACTGTTATATATTTGTACAAAGACTTACGGCACATCTGTAATTTGGAAACCTTCTTATATTTCGTAATTTCCTTTAATTCATGAATCTTCTAATGTTTTATAGAGTGGACTTATGAATTTCCACGCATTCAGTTACCTCTCCATTAAGGTGGCAGTCTTAATGTCCTTCCGTCTTCTTGAAAAACTATAAAAATGGTTACGTAATGGAGTTTGCAGTACCATAACTAAGTAAACCATAAGAGCAACAACATTCGGTTCAAAACTAATCTTTTTTTTTTAATATAGACACTATTAATCGTTTCGATTTAATTCAAGCGGATGATTGTGAGAGGTTGTTATTATCTGCGAAGGACATGGAGCTAGTGGAAATTCCATATCCGCCATATTGTGCTGAGTCTTTGCAACCTGTTATTGAAGATTCCGGGAGTATAGAAGTAGCATGTTCAACAACACCAGTTTTTGAACAGAGTGTCATGCAGAATTTTTCCGAGCGCGCTGAACATCACGAAGGGGGCGAATATATTTGCGCATTATGTTATTTATCCCATTCGCCCCCTGTGAATGAGATTCCAGATTCTCAACAGACGCATAATGAAATTATTCTAAATACAATGAGACAAGATAACTCCCGTTCGCTCGTTGCAACGACCTGGTCGTCATCAGGAACTGGAATAATGCGCAGGCGCTCGTCTTCTTCATATTATCCACTTGAAGCTCACTCCGTGAAAGTCAATAAATTCTACGATCATCGAATTTCGAGTTACGGCATGGGTCAATCTATGGCAGGCGGCCGAGTTGGGCATCTGCAGTCGCATGTTTCATACACAACGGGCCGAAACGGTGCGTTAGAACATTTTAGGGAACGCTACAATACTTTTAGCAATAATAATCGTAATGCCGGTTGTACGTCTTTACCGAGAATAAATTTGTTACCAAAAACCATCTTCGACTTGAACTATAACAATTCCGACACAGCCTGCACAAGAAGTACGTTTTTACCGAGAATACTTTTGCCACCAACAGCCACTTTCGCCGAAAAACAAACGGAATGTTCGTCTACTCCGTCAAGCGAACGTGAACATCAATGTGAAAGTTACGCCGAGGACTCATTATCGCTGAAACGCGCTACACGCAGCCCCGTACCTAACGCAGCCACTAAGGGAATCTTAAAAGTCAGCGCCATTAAATTACCGGACGATCACTTCAAATGTCTTCTTTGCAGCAAATTATTTAATAAGTCTTATAGCTTGAAGCAACATATCGACATTGCTCATTCCGGCAACCGCCTGCATCGTTGCTCTGCGTGTGGCAAGCGCTTTAAAACCGAAGAAGAAAAGGAAGTGCATTCGGCACTTCATATGACGGCCGACAAGAGATACAAATGTTCAGAATGTACGAGAGAATATCATCACAGAAGCGATCTTAACCGACACATTAAAGAAAAGCATAACGAAAAGCCCTTAGGATGTCATTTATGTCAAAGAAGATACTACCGGAAAGATCAGTTGAACAAACATGTTCTAACACATTTGATTCCGAAACGAAGAGGGCGACCACCGCTTAATATCGATCCAGCAGTCGAAAAGCTTCCATCTTAAGTCCACATGAAGAGGATCATTATATATTATAATTATTTTTTTCCTAAATTGTTTACATATTTCTTTATTAAGTTGTTTGTTTTATATTTTCCTTTATTAGCCAGTGGCTATTTACCATAATTAAACTTAACATTAACTTATGGGCAAATTTAAAATTAAACTTAAAACATTAAAAGCTGTTAGACGAAGCTACGACGAAACCTTTACCAATCGTAACTCGACCGCATATGCTACCCACATTAGATAATTTCGTTTTGCTCGTTGGCGCCAAACTCCTCATATCAAATATCATATATGTATATATCATATATGTATATATATATATAATATTATTATTATTATTGACATTCGTCGCCGACATGTGTTCTGAGTAGTGCGTGGTTTCTTTTCGTCTGCGATTTTTTAATGGTTTTGGCGTATTGGCGTGTATTTGGCTTATGTCTTTTCAGTCTCTTTGCTAAGCCGTTTATCGCGGGGTACTCAACACAAAAACAAAATTAAGAGAAAAATTAAAAATATTGAAAACCACACAATTAACATTTTCCATTATTTAGTAGTGTCCAATCTTTTCCCAGGGAGTGGTTTCCTTGTCCTAAATTACTAAATAATCAACTGACAAAAAAAGGCATTATAGCCCCATGGCCACCAGATGAAATCTCAACTAGGTTTCATTTACCACATAGAAAATTATTGAAAATTCGGACTTTCTGGTTTTGCCATCATTCCGACTGACAAATTATATTTGATGACCTCTTCAACGGATGTAATTTCGCAAATCAGTCCTTTCGTTATAAAAAAAGCTCTTGATGACATTACATACTATGTAGACGCTATCTCGATTCTACGCGATGGTAATTTATTTCTTCTCGATGGTAATCTGCGCGCGACAGAGAGCCGGTCTTGCGGTTAGAATCGGACATGGAAAATACAAACTATAGTGGGCCTCGGTTCGCCATAAAATACCCCACAACACTTTATAGTTATTCGTAACCCAACTTTGGAAACTTTTGAAGTTTTTCATTTTATTACGTTGTCAACTCAATTAAAAAATTCTTTAGCACCCTCTCTTTAAGTGTAGTCACATTATAGTAACTCAATCGTAATGTACCTAAAGAAACGGCAGTTTTGTTTAAGTGCATCCTTACATATCAGTTTTCTAAAAACTTTATGCATATAACAGAAGCTTTCGAACATCACAATCACAAATAAGTTTTGTTAAATAAAAATAAACATTAGGATTACGAAAAAGTCGCTGCCGATTTTTTAGTAAAATTGCATGTTCACTATAAGAAAATGAGAGTGTTCATCGCGGGTAACTACTTTTTCCACGTTTTTGTAAAAACATTAGTTTTGTGCGGAAAGGATAACCGAGCTTTTGTTCCTTTGAGCGAAAGGACCAAATGTTTTAAGGATCATGGAGAGGATAAAACATTTCAATCCAGTAGTACTAACCAACTTGTACCGGGTTGTAAGGTTGCCGAGTACCTCACCGTTGGCATATTTAATTAACTAAACTCTCTTTTCGACAGTTGGATAACAAACGATGATGAAGTGGTATTTCTTTATCACGAATTGATCTTGGGGCAGTTTTGCCACATTCACACGAACTTTATGATAAAAACTCGCAATGCCATTATTTTTGAGATAACAACTCTTTTGTACCTTTGTGTGGTTGCATTAGTTCACAATATACTGCATCCACCACACGACCCCATAGATATTCAGCTTTGTTGACGAGGTGAACGAGCTTTTGGTTTGTTATGTCCTCAGTTTAGCGTTTACGCGACCTCTCAATATTTTATTTCTTTTTCCTCTTTTCACATTTAGCAAATCCACAGCCGAAAATTCGCTGAGATGTGTAAAAAAAGAAGTTTGAATAAAACACATACGTGTAACGTATTTATAAATATAACGAATAATTTTTGATGTATAACTAATGAAGCGAAATGGTGTAGTGTGTTTAATGGTCGGCCTTACCGACTACAGCAGTCTTATTCAAATCCTTGCCAGATCACGTACACCTCAGTGCAGCTGCAGACGTATATTCAATTTGCCTTAGCTACACAGTGAGCCGTTGAATCCCTTTAACTGAATATTCCGTGCGAGAATTGTTCCGGGGTTGTTATTTTTAAATATTGTAACAACTTTCCTTGCCGCAACAAAATTTTCAAAAATACTTTACTTCTTAAGTTGTTACTGAATACTTACTTCTATAATTGGAAAGAACAGAAAAGTTTAGGAGAAAGACTTTGATAGGATGAATTCTGCTGAAAGTGGCCCGGATCAGAACACTTTGTTGGCCGTCAACCATGTGATCGAAAAATGTACGGAGAAAGTAACATTTTCAGCGTTAGGCTAAAATTTGCAACGTTTTTCTCGATTAATTTCTCGCGAAGTCGAAATGAGTTACGCTTGAGCCTCGGACTAACACTACGTACATTACCCAATAAGTTGCAAATAGAAAACTCTGCGCAGATGTTATCATAAGAAATATTTGGATCATTTTCGTAAAGTATTCTTTGAAAGATTCTTTTTCTTAAGTTGTTTTTTTTTTTTATTTAAAATCTGAATAAGACACATATCCCACCATATACTATATTCCACCGCCTTTTCCACTTCAAAAAGTGTAAATAGATTGGTGCTCAAGCTGTGCTTAGGCAAACCTACAGCGAATCACCAAAGCTATTGCTCCTCTTGGGCTTTTCCCCTGTAGAGGGAATTTTTTACTAAACTTTAATCAGAATTTTATTTCTTTTGATTTCCTTTTTCTACTCATTTATTAACTTTTCAAATGAAATCGAAAATAATTTGTACAAAAAGTTTACTAAAGTCTGCCAAGGCCAACTTGTGCACTCACTTTCCATGACAACAGTTGAAGAAAACAAAGAAGTCCAAAAATTTTTGAGTTTTTTCAGCAAAACTTTGCTCCTTGCTAAACTCTTCAAACCAATCGAGTAATTGTTGTTGCTCTTGTTTCTGCTTCTCATTCAATTCATTTGAATAATCATTAAAATCTGCGGTGAATCCCGCAAAGTAATCAGAAAATAAGGCGTGAACTTTTTCTAGAAACACATGCGGTTCATATTTTTTAAGGAATTCAGCAAGTAGTTTATCTTCTTCCAGATTTTTCGAAGACGCAATAGTCTCCAGCGTTATCTTATTCAAATAAGTTAACTTATCTTCATTGTTTTTTGCATCCTTCAAATACTCAAAAGATTGTACAAACTTATCATATTCTTCTTTCGAGAATTCTTTGTCTACCATTTTGCCGTCCGCCACTAACTCCTTGATTAGTTTCGAAGAAAAATTTCTACATTGTTCGCCAAAATCCAACGTAAACTGAACGAATTGGTTTAAGGTTAAATCGAAAAGTTTATTATGTTCGTTCAGTTGCTGATTGCTAGCAAATGTTGAACTGTCCGCATCTTGTACTGGGCTGGAGAAAATATTCTACAAATTTTTAAACATTTATTAAATAAGCATTTTTTTTATTTCAAAGATTAACCTGAATAGCGAAGATTGAAATTAAGAGGAGAATATTAATCAAACATTTGTTCATTTTGTTTTCATTAGACGCTCAACGGTTTTAGTGATTAAAGTGCAACTGAATGATCTTATATTTGCGAAAGATGCAACTTTCATTATTTTCTAGACTTTAAAGATGATGATAAGCTGATAGGAGCTATTTAAAAAACTTATAAATATGTAAGAAACTTTTAAATACTTTAACACTGGATTACCGAAGCGAGTTTATTTGACCCATTTTCGTATTTTATGGTTATATATTTGGAAAAACTAAATTGATCATTTTAAAAGATAAAATTATGAAATATATAGATACTTATTCTTCGCCTCCCCCTGCCCTTAGTTCAAAAAATCCATATGTGCTACACTATCTCATTTAATAATAAAACATAGGAAACAGTTATATTTTTAAGATAAAGAGCCGGACTTATTGCAAATATGTCGCAGATGTAGCTGCCGATGACCATTGGTCGCAAGTGCCGCTTGCTAAGCCAGATAAATTTGGCATCAAAACGATTAGAAGCTTAAGTTCTTTCTTTTCTTTTCAACACTGTAAACTGTCTGTGTTTGCTTTTCTGACTTGCAGACGAAAAAGGAGGTTTAGAAATAAGGTCGCCCGCCTGCTGAATGTAATATTTTTATTATTATTTAGCCAGAGAATCAATTCTAAGGCTAAAATCATAAAGCTATAGCCTCTGCCGGCCTTATTGAAACACGCACTTAAGATTTGAATCCACTACTATTGAGTTGTTAGTCAAGGCTCTTTGCCTACTCGGCCACTCTGGCGGATAAAATACAATAGAAAAATCTGTTTCTTTACAACAAACCTTCATTTTTTTACATCTTCAACTGTTTGCTACAAATTGACTTATTTCACGCAAAAAGCCAGCAACCTAGTGTTATTTCGTAATAGACATTATAATGCCCTATATACTGATACTACTAAAGTCATACTTAAAAATGCGGAACTTCCAGCCGTACTCTATGCGGCATCACATAGACGTCGTACATTACCAGACAGTGTTTGGCAGGCAGCCTTGCTTCATAATAAGAGTGATATCCAACTTGTGAATACCAAATTTGATAAAAAGTCACGAAAATGACAATAAGAAAACACATAGTGTCCGCCCAAGGCTGGTAACCGATTACGAGGTCAGAAAACGGTTGATAATTCGGTTAACGTCGACATTTCGCCAAACAGAAGCTCATCGCTAAGCTCAAATTGCAAAAATTTTCAAACCAAAATATACAAAATAAAGTAAGAAAAAATTTCGCAACTGTACCTGTGACTAGTTACATCTAATGTTTTACATTGACAAAGCGAAACGTATAGAGAATCAAATATCGTTTTGTTGGGAACGTTTTAACACCGCAATGGAGATTTAAATGCATAGACCTAGCTAAAAAATTCAGTGAAAACACTGTTGTGGATGCCGGCCCACCATTAAATACTGTAGCCCGATTCGCTTAATAAAGTTATTGATGTCACGGCTTTTCAAAATAAGTCCTTATATTGGCAGTAGTCAATAAAGTGATTAGATCGGAACCATTTTCAATAGAATTCGTCCTTAGGCCAAAGCAGATCAATGGGCCAAGTTCCATCAAAATATATAGAAAATTGATGCCAGTCGATAGAATAAAAGAAAACAAGACGGATGGACAAGCTTACATCGATTCAGAAAATGATTTTATATACGTCAAGTCCTTCTGGGTGTTACATAGATTCGCAGAAATAAATATACCTTTGTACCACAACTCGTGTAATGACAATTATGTATACCTGTGTACACGTTATAGCGTCTCCGATGTACATTTCGTTGCATTACGAAATGTGACAATTTGATTTTATGTTGTAAGTAACATTAGTTGCAAATACAACTCTGTAGAATGTTGGGTTGTTTAATGCAAAGAAAATGACAACGAAAAACATAATTGATAGGCGTGGGAGATTGGCACGTCTGAAAACAGAAACAGGCACGAGAGAAGAAGTCGATGACAAAAGAGAGAATGGAGAAAACCTGGACTTTACGGGCTTTCCTTACATTTTTGCTACCATCCAGACACCCATCGATAGGTTTACGCTTAAAAAAAATGTATGTAACACGCAGAATAGCTGAAGACAGACCCACCTTTTTTCTAAATCGAACTAAGCCTGTCTCTCCGTCCGTCCGCTTGTATATCGACAAAATTTGAAGCATCTACGCCCATTTTTGGGTCCTAGCCTATGTAACAATTAAACGTACACAAATGCGCACTTGAAAAATTAGCCTTTATACAGAAACAAGATATCATTTTTGTGTTCTAGCATACAAGTAAGAATTGTGTTAGAAAATGTGGGGTAGGGTATTTACTGACGGCCTTGCCCGACTATAATCTTCTTACTTGTTTCAAATATCAACTATGCATAATTGCTTTGCGGTTAGAAATTTCACTTCACATATGCGCTGTCAATTACAAAAGGCAAACAAATGTTTGCATATTTTCACAGAAAGTAATTAATGGTTCATCGTACAAATAAAATCTTTCCAATATGGTCGGCATTGAAGTGGAATATGAAGTAAAGTCAGCTTTAAATGAACAAACTATTCTGTTGAAACTTAATATTAGCAGTTTTTAAATTAAGAGATCTGCAACACAAGCAACAAATTAAGAGTATACTGCCTACAAAGTCACTATCAGTAGTAGTGGGAATGCAGCGCTCTAGTGTTATTAACACCACCGGGTTATTCGTCGTTCTTTTTTTATATATACAATATTTTGCGATTTGACATAACTAAGTACGCACATATATTTAAATTTTGTTCTTCGTCCTATCATTTCTCCTTTATAAATTTTGAATATTTATTTCTTTTTAACTCGGTTTAAATGATAGATAGATAAGAATTTTCCTTTATGTTATCAATAAATATTCCTTTTAAGACCCATCACCGAAGGATGATACACAAGGATATTTTAAGTGTGAGCGGACCCCAGTGTGAGCAACACACAAAAGGATTTGAGGTGGATTCACGTTTTACTATATGGAAAGTAGTTCTGAATCCATGTCAGCTTGTCTACTTTGTTGTGTTCAACGTGTACGCCACAAGTTTCAGGACATTTTGATGAAATTTAATGAGCTGACATATTTAGGCCCAAAGACAGGCGTTAGCGAACATGGTTCGGATCAGGCCACTTTTCCAACCACTTCACGTATAACGGCTTATTTTGAAACGCCGTTTACCGCGGCCCACTGTAATGTTTTTCGGCTTTTTTTTTTGTCACAAACATCGAAAAGTTAAACATATTTATTTACTGCAAATAGAAATCAATAAATGCCGGGAGCTTCAAAAAGGCTTATTTTTAAAAAATTATTTTTAAAAAATCTATAATTTTATTAAGCCATTGTCAATGATAAGTAGTTTTCATTAATAAAATCTTTATTTTTATTACTATTATTCTTTTCCCAGAGTTGGCTTAAATAATTCAAAGAAGGAGACAATTTCATTAAATTTGTCTTTTAGCTCACTAGTTCCGCTAAAATCCTTATGCCAGTCGAAGAGTTTTTGTTGTTCTTGCTTTTGAGTTTCGTCCAATTCGTGGGCGTATGTTTCGAATTCTTCGGATATATGGTCATAAAACTTCGTAACCGCTTCCCGAATTTTCTCACTAAATTCCACAAGTTTATACTTTTCGATAACTTTTTTCGTTTGTTCATCTTTCACTGTAAACTCATCGGTGGCAAAATCAATTATATTTCCTGTTAATGTATATAAATCCAACATGTTTGGGTCGCCTTCGCTATTCTTTACTTTTTCAAAACTTTTGACGAATTTATCCTGTTGTCTGTGGGAAAGATCCTTATCAGGCAATTCATTGTTTTGCTCCATTTCGTCTACAACTTTCGTTATAAATTCACGGAGTTCATCTCCAGTTTTAAGTGCAAACTCAGTGAGGTCTTTTAAGACTTCTATATATAATTTATTGTGCTCATCGATTTGCTCATCGTCCGGTATTGGTGAGGTGACGCAATGCTGAAAATAAAGACTTTTTTTTTTGAATTGCCTAACAACATTTCTTTAAGGACTTACTTGAACCACTAAAATTAATCCCAAGCAAATAATATAATAATTTTTCATTTTTGCTTTCTTCACACTTTGAGAAGGAATTCACAACTGGTGTATGTTGTTTGAAGTTGATTTCTATTTGCAAGTTTTCTACACATTGCTTGTTACGCGTTGTTTTCCCTAGAACACAACGATGAGCTGATCAGATTTCATAAGAAAGTTCAAAGATTATTCTAATTACAATAAATAAATGTGCCCCAAGGTAATTCTTTTGAAACTTATTATCTTTTTGATGTGGTGTGATATTCTTATATCAATGAGATTAAATGAGACAGAAATGCAGCTTGAAATTAGAAAAGCAAGAGCATTATAGTGGAGCGACGCTAATCTTTACATACCCTATACCACTTTGCCGAGTGCGGTTATTCACGCGATAATTTTCATGAAAGCCCGCACATTGAAAGGTTAGTTCTTTCTCCACGTAAGAGTTTGGTTCTGTTAAATTCACTGGGTTTCAAAGTAAACTCTAGTAGCTTGTGGACAGATTCTTTGATAACGTTAAGCCGGATAAATAGTCAAGGTAAGCAGTGCAAACTATGCGTCAAAGCGAAAGTCATCCACGATTGGAAAGCGATAGAAAAGCTAACCCAGTAGAGTTACTGCAAGAGGAATCACAGCCAACAAGTTAAGTATGGAAGTATGGATACTTGTGGTTGTGCGAAAGTGGTTTAGTTGGCCAGAATAAAAGTTATTGGTAAACCATTACATTATGCATCGAGGTTAGAAAACAACCACCTGCTATTGAGATGGAGACGTTTAGCAAACTAACAAAACTTCCGCGAACTACAGCTTACGTATTTCAATTCATGCGGCGAATAAAAACCCCATTAAAAGCGAATATAGACGAGGAAACAAATCTCGAATTTGAAAAGCTTAACCCGAGTAAATTACAAGAGGCAGAAATTTACTTAATTAAATGTGAACAAATCATCATTAAAGTCCCGAAATTAATAAGCGTTTGTTTGGAAACTCATTTCAGAAGGAGCGGGTGGTGTGGATTTTGTGAGCATCTTGTGAGAACCGTACAATCGTTTAAAATCGTCTATTGGAAAGTGAAACTTGTTTTTAGATGAGCTAACACCAGTATTAGTGGAAATCGAAAGTACTGTAAATGTCCGACCGATTACATATGTTAACAGCAATCATAACGATTTGCGAGCTTTAATTCCACTAATTTCTTCACTCATAGTAAATGTGTCTTACCCTCCATAGAGATGAAAAGCGATGGGTCAGCAATAGCGCAAATATGGCCTTTGCGACAATCCTTGATTAAAAATTACTTAAAGCGTTGGCGTAGCAAACTTTTATGTCAGCTAATATCCATACATCATTACAGAGACGATTTAGCTAAGAGCGTTAAAGTTGGTAATGTTGTCTGACCTCATGAAGACAACAGGCCAAGACTATTGCGGAGGCTACGAGAGATGAAACAGATGTACCAAGGTAAAGATGGCCGAGTAAGATCCTGAGACATCCGTTTACAAAATCAGAAAATCTTAAAGAGACCTGTACAACTTCTGTACCCGTTAGAGCTATCAGCGGCCTCCTAACTTCTGGTTAATAACCAAGCGTAAAAGCCGACAACCAGAGATAAACGCGTTAATAAAAAATTTCATAGAGAATTCTTGCCATCAACTGCTGCCTTATTTACTCTACAGTTCGAAAATAACTGATGAAGGGTATTGAAAGAAGTCCTGTTATATCCCAGGAGAGGTACGCCAAATAATAAGAGCCCCAGGATGCATTCTACCTGTTTGACGCGATAAGTAAAACATCCTTTATGTGGTAAAATGCAATTTTCGGCCCAACGCAAGCCGCATTGCCTGTTTATCTCACAAGACTGATTCCCTAGAATATATTCTAGAATATTCTGACATATATATGTCAAAATCAAAAGTAAACTAAATAAGAACAAATCACTTCCGCAAAATAACGTTTTATACCCTATAACGCTTGTTGTACAAGGACGTATTAATTGTGAGCGGAGATATACAGCACTCGGAAGGACTTGAGATAGATCTACCTTCTATCATACGCAAAGTGATTCGGAATCGATCTTGGTTCGTCTGTTTTCTTGTGTTGAACCTTTTTGAGATGGTTTGATGAAATTTAATGCACTGACATGTTTTGACCCAAGGACAGACGTTAGCGAACATGGTTCGGATCAGGCTACTTTTCAACCACTTCCCATATAACGCTTTATTTTGGAACGTCGTACGCCGCGGCCCACTCTTGGGCTTGTTATAAACATCGAAAAATTTAGCATAAATAAATGCGGGATTAATGCCTGCGAAATTTTTATTTCGTTGGTCAGCCTATTTAATAAGACGTTGTGGGGTAATTTATATAAAAAACTTCTGCTCGATTTTAGAAATTTTAACTCTTAACTTGCAGCAGCCGAAGTAAAGCTTTTTCAATGCTTATTTTTAAAAATTTGACTCTACAATTTTATTAAGCCATTGCTAATGGTATATAGTTTTTATTAAAAAAAATCTTTTTTTTCTTTTGTTGCTATCATTTCTTTGGCACGGTCGGCTTAAATAATTCAAAGAAGGAGACAATTTCATTAAATTTGTCTTTTATCTCACTAGTTCCGCTAAAATCCTTATGCCAGTCGAACAGTTTTTGTTGCTCTTGCTTTTGAGTTTCGTCCAATTCGTGGGCGTATGTTTCGAATTCTTCGGATATATGGTCATAAAACTTCGTAACCGCTTCCCGAATTTTCTCACTAAATTCTACAACTTTATATTTTTCGATAAACTTCTTCGCTTGTTCATCCTTGTCTGCAAAATCATCGGTGGCGAAATCAATAATATCGCCTGTTAGTTCGTATAAATCCAACATGTTTGGGTCGCCTTCGCTATTCTTTACTTTTTCATAATTTTTAACCAATTTTTCCTGGCGTATGTTGGAAGAATCCTTATCGTCATCTTGCTTTACTTCGTCCACAACTCTCGTCACATATTCACGGAGTTCATCTCCAGTTTTAAGTGCAAACTCAGTAAGGTCTTTTAAGACTTCTATATATAATTTATTGTGCTCATCGATTTGCTCATCGTCCGGTATCGGTGAGGTGACGCAATGCTGAAATTAAAGACTTTTTTTTTGAATTGCTTAACAACATTTCTTTAAGGACTTACTTGAACCACTAAAATTAATCCCAAGCAAATAATATAATAATTTTTCATTTTTGCTTTCTTCACACTTTGAGGAGGAATTCACAACTGATTTGTGTTGTTCGAAGTTGAATTCTAATTGCAAATTTTCTACACATTGCTTGTTACGCGTTGTTTTCCCTAGAACACAACGATGAGCTGATCAGATTTCATAAGAAAGTTCAAAGATTATTCTAATTACAATAAATAAAGGTGACCAAACGTAATTCTTTTGAAACATCTGAAATCTCTTTTTTTATGTGGTGTGATCTTTTTTTAAAAATGAATTTAAGTGAAGCAGAAATGTAACTTGTGATAAAAAAGTTGGAAATTAATATTTTAGATCTCTGAGAATAGCAAAAAAGGAAAGGAAATGTGCTCAGAATATCTGTTGCAAAAGAAAAAAGATATAAGAAAATATTTTTGGTGTAGTCGACATCCTGCATGAGTTGTTTTATTAGGTTGGCTAAACTTTTATTTCAAAATGCTTGAGAAGTTACTCAGCAGTCGAACGGTGGATGTCGAGTTTCTTTTCCACAGCAAAGCGGTTAGGTGTGTCCCACTTTTCACGCCCAAAAATCTGGTCACCTTAGACTAATAAATTTTTAATGTGTATGATCAGCAGCTGTATTACATTATTATATTAATTAAACAATTAAACCTTTATTCACTCAATTTATTGTAATAATCTAAAACAAAAGTTTTTTTTCTTCTAAGCAAAGGCACAACAGATAATAACAATGAGTGTACTTTTATAAGTAAATAGTTGTAATTATAAGATTAAAGAGCCGATAGCCTGTGTTGCTAGTGCTCAATGTCTTTTCTTTAGTCTAAGAATTCATTTCATTAGTCTAAAATTAAAATAATAATAATAATAATATAAGATTAAAATTAAGGCAGCGAAATGTTGATTACCGATTTTAGGATTGGGACACTAGAAGAGGATCTACGTTAAGGTGATCCAAATACCTTTAGGTTTTTGAATCATTCCTGGATGATTATTGAAATGTAATTAGAAAAAGGGTTTCTCAGAGACACTACGGCTACATAGCAGAAGCGGATATTATTCATCGTTCATTAAAGTACATCTTTCTGGCGCAAAGCTTTTTATCCCTGTCCTTAATTTAGTTATAAAATTGATCACGATCGTATATATATTATATATATATGTAATATGTAAAGATAATACATAGTATAATATATAAAACATATAACATGTAACATATAGTTTATCATAAATAAAAATCCTTTGTTGTTTTTAAAAAAAATATTCTCCTTTATTCTCTTGCTATATGTTCGAATAATTTCTTATAGCACTTTGTTCTGTTCCATTTGAGACATAAACATAAAACATAGTTTTTGAGCACGTCAACTATTTTTCCTGCCGATGAAAATCGTTGTTCGTGCCATTTATTTTTCTCCTTCGGGAAGAAATGGAAATCGTGGAGTGCCCTATAAGGACTGCTCGAAGTGAGGTGTGAAAGTTCGTATTACATTTAACGGCGCAGTTGCTACATGACCAGTTCCGATAGTCCGAAAAACAGACTGACTTTTTTCTTCCATAATGTTTCGATCGCGAACAAGAGTTTGTTCAATTTACCTTGAAACGACCCTGTAGTCAATTGCACCTAACTTCCCGTTTCGTACGCATATATCCACGATTTGACACCTGTCAAAGTCTTATGGAGGTCTCTTGCTTATCTTCGCTGAAGCACAGATTTCAACTCACTTTAAGCAAACCGCTATCAAATGACAAAATAGTCTCAAGATAGTTATGGTCAAAAATGTTAAACTTTCCAATAGAAACTTTACATTGCATGTCACGCCTTATAGGCTTAAAGTGTAAATGGTACAGTGCATCTTTAATTTAGGTGAACATTTTGTCGAGAAGCCAAAGATTTTGCTTTTAAATTTTATGAGCTAAAACATGCATTACTTTAGTTTTACTATTAAAACAGTGAATGTATGAAATTTAACATTAGCAAGTTAGCAGTAGAGCGCAGTTTCATAAAGTTTATTTTACTGGAGCGTACACTTTTCTCTCTACGCCCCGAAAGCTGCCAGCAATGTTTCCCTGATTGTCTTTTTGCTTATTTTGCTTGACAGTAAACATTAAATTACATGAAATCATGCTGCAGCCATCGTGCTAAGCATCAACTACTTTACACATTTTACGTGCTCTGCAAGCGTGCATAATATGTGCATATCCTTTGGGGGCTATTCATTACTTTAGATATCATCTTATGAGTCTTAGGCGAGTAGTGTTTCCTATTTTTAGATAGGAGAAAATCACATCATAAGTACTTTTTATGCTCTACGCTTTACTGTAATGTCCGGTCTAGTTGCTGCAAGCAAGAATTTAAGAGCAGACCTATTTACTTTCAAATCCTGCAAAATACATACGTAATAATAGGTCAGCAAACGAACAAGCAAACAAACGACCTACTTACGCCATACGCCATCTATGGAGAATACTTTTTGTTTAAGAGATAAAATAGCTGAGGGCTCCCAAAAATTTGTTTTTGCAAATGACACTGTCCACGAAAAAAAACAATTACGAAATACAGTTGACAAAATGCCTGAACAAGCATTTGCAAGCCTGGACTTATGTAGATAAGATATGGGGACACAAACAACGTCTTTGCTTAGCCTGCATTCTACTAAACGCCTTTACTTTGGCAGCATCGTTCTAAACGAGAATTATGACAACGCATATTTGGCAATTGTAGAAGAAAACGTAATTAATTTACAATGAAAGAATGGTCGCTTAACCAAGGCAATGCGTTATCAAATTTTGCAAACAAATTTCTAGTGAAAAACAAGCAAAAGTACTATAGTGGGCCACGGCCTACCATTAAATTCGCTAAACTACCCTACAGTTATCCATTTAACGACGGGTCAAAACAATGGAAAAGTGCTCGAAAAAGTGGGCTGATCCGAACTATTTTTACTAGCGTCTGTCTTTGAACCGAAACACGTAAGTGTCATCAAAATAACTCATAAATTGTGACCAATAGGTTGAATACAAGCAAGCGAGACAAATAGATGGACAGACTGACAGACAAGCTCAGAAAGTGATCCTGAATCGATCAGTATAGTAAAATGTAGGTTTAGCTCAAGACTTGCTTCAAATTTATTGGTTGATATGTTACGTAATCAAAAAAAAAACCAGATGAATTAGTCTAAAACATCTCTAACTTGTTCATTGAAATGATCGCAAGAATTCTCTTTTCTAGATTGTGAGCGAAGACGGGACCCGTTCCGTGAGGAGCTTTTGTGCATCCAGTTTTTATGCAAACCGTTGAAAATAAATTCATATGAAATTTTTTACGGCGTTTGCCAGCTCACGCACTTTCAATTTTACGTTGCATAAAACTATATCAATGCGTTTTCAAGTAGTTTCTGTTTTCGTCACACCACAGAGGCGTTCGTCACTTGTGCTCATGCGACCACATGTCCATCTAGCCATTAGGTGCTGAATCATTTAGCCATTTTATCTAGCATCCTCAACCAAGTGAACTGAAAATTTTAAAACATTCTTATCAGTGACATACAATCTGTAGCGTATGCATATATAATGGTATTTAGCCAGCTAGTAGGCTGATGTTTAATCAACCCAGAGATAGTGATCATCCATACAATATTAATATAGTGAGCAGCTCCTCAAGCAAATGCAGAGCTTTGCGACCTCCTGATCAACCCCTGTTTCTCTGTCCGAATGCCAGTTCATCTGATCGTCATTGCACGCTTCACATCAGCTCTATGGGGTCTTCACGATTGCAATGTTTTCCATATTTTGTATTTCCGCAATTTGGCGGCTGACCTTGCCATCTTCACTCTTTTTAAAATCTATCATCCGAATATGTAAGTGTTCATAACCAACCCGCGAATCTACTCCTCCACTGCCTCCGATTATTTAAGCAACTTATCTGTTCTTTCATTGGAGACTTACATACTTACACATGCGCACTTCTAATCTTCACGCCAAGGCACTAGTTATTGCACTACATCACGTTCTGAAAATTAAGCAAAATAAAACAAGTAAGAAAGTTGCATGCGGATGGGGCCGAATCTCGTATATCCACTGCTATTAAAATCTTTGGCGACTCATGCTATTATTAATTACAGAGCGAATGCGATAAAATTTATCTCCTTTTTACTTAAGTATAAGATATTGCTAAATAAATTCAGTCTGCCAGGTCGTGACGCCTACGATTTAATTTATGCTACGCTTTTCGCATTCTACTCTCCAAGTTCTTCCAAGTTCAAGTACCCTACCTACACTACATTGTCTAACACAGTTCTTATTTTTATTAGAGAACATACAAATTGTATCTTGTTGCTATATAACGGCTCTAGAATAAAAATAGGAATTGTGTTGCACAATGTGGTGTATGGTATTTATTTTAATCTATGAAATATTAACGTACCTGTACGTGAAATAATAACTTAATCTAAGTGTAAAACCGAAGTGAACCCGACTTTATTCCTCACGAGATAGAGAACTTCCTATTCACAATGAGTCTGATTCACTTCTTAATGTGAATTATCTGCCGTTGATTTTCTAAATTTCAGAACATGAAGAAGAAGAAAAGATAGATCTAAGTCAAATTGTTCTTGATGCTTCAACACGAGGCCGAATATAGTCAATGCATTAGGAGATTGCAAAAATTTTAACCAACGACTTCTACAGGTAAAAATGCTGAACAAATAGGAAATACCGGGGTACACATAAATTGAGTTCGACGGATTTGACCTTCCCCAACATAAAACAACAGCTTCGCGTTTAATATTACTGATCTATTCAGCGTACGCTGACGCTAGTCTCTGAACCCGAATAATTGACTTTTCGGCATTTAATCTGCTGTCAAAGTCCACCGCACACGTTCAGAAACTTATGGTGACGCTCTTCCATTATATCCCGATTGTTAGTTAGGAAAATATGTAATAGGTGATGAAATTCGATATTGTATTTTAATGAAAATTGACAAAAGCTTATCTTAACTTATCTTTAATTTAAGCAAAGATTATTTAAAAACGCTGCAAGTGGATGGCTTGCAGCTCTTGCAGTCTTACGTGCTTCGTCAACATATTTA